TGATAAAGATGTGGAGAGATTGGAACTCTCATACACTGCTGGTGGGCCTGTCAAATAATACAACCACTGTGGAAAACGGTATGGTGATTCCTTAAAAAGTTGGTAATAGAAATACCATTTAACCTAGCCATTCCATTACTAGGTATATATCTTAAGGAAATAAGAGCTAAGACAAGAACAGATATATGCACATCCATGTCCACTGCAGAACTATTTACAATAGCAAAAAGATGGAAATAATCTAAGTGCCCATCAACAGAAGAATGAATAACTGAACTATGTTACATACACACAATGGAATACTATGCAACCATGAAGAATAATATAAAATCTATAAAACTCCACATAATGTGGATGAACTTGGAAGACATTATGCTGAATGACAAATATTGTATTAGTCCATTACTGTAAAAAGTCAAGGAAAGGTTTATATATGGAAGGAAATTTTCTTTGTTGGTTACCAGGGATGGGAGGGGAGGGGAGAAAATACTGCTAGATAGGGAGAGACAAGTATTGATTTGGGTGAAGGGAAAGGCTATGTACCAAATGTGAGTGATCAACTTGGTGGCACTGAGGAAGAAGAAGACATAGAGAGGTGCATGGGAGGTACAGACAACAAAGATGAACCCTTTTACACATGGTACAGCATTTTCAGTGATGGAAAATGTTGATCTACAGGTGCATAGTGGGGTGGACAGCCTTAATGATTAGGTATATCTATGCAAGAGGGGAGTGTGCCCATGACCATGTATAGGGTTGGCAGACAATTTTTCTACAAGTGTACTTGTTTGTTCTGTAAGAATTCCCAGGTAGATAGTACAGCTGACAAGGGACAAGGTTGTACTCACTTGTTGGCCACACCTAGCTACCCAGAGGGAGCAAGTAGTTGGACCTGTGGGTTCATGACCATGGTTGCAGAAGATATCGAGCTCAATTGGCATAACATACCACACAAAACATTGTTCCACATCCTACTTTGGCAAGTAGAGACTGGGATCTTAAAAGCTTATAAGCAGCCATCTAGATGCAACAATGGGTTTCTCCTCATCCAGAGCAAAGAAGAATGTAGAAAACCAAAGACACATGGAAACAATTAATCCAAGGGACTGGTACACCACACAATCCTCATCCTATATGACTATGAGACCAGAAGAACTAGATGGTGACTGGCTACCACTGTCAACCACTTGGAGGGGTATCTATGTAGGAGATCCTTTATAGAGTGGGAGAACAATGTGGAACAAAATTCAA